GTTCCAGTCTTTCTGCGGTGTTTTTTTCTTTTCTATTCTGGGTCGCCGTTTTTTTTTGTTCGCGCCAAATGTCAATCCAGACGGGTTTGTGGTCCGATAATGCCATGTCCTGCGCCGTGGCTACCCTACGGACCATTTGGTGGCGGTCGCATGCTCTCATTAAGAAATCGTCGAGCTCATACCAACGTCTGTCCATCTGGTTGAACCATGTTCCTCGGGAGCGTATTGTGAAGTAGGAGTTGACATGTTGTAGCTGGTGTTCTTTGCACCAATCCAGTAGACTTTCTCCAGCTTCATTTGACTCTGTCTTTAGGCCGTACTTCCCACTTATGCCTTGTCTTTGACTCCCTCTTCCAACTTGCGCGTTCCAATCGCCTCCCAGTATGGGTACACTCTCTTTTGGAGTTCGAGCAAGCTCATTTTCCAAATCTTTCTTGAACTTTTCAATTTCCTCAGGTCCCTTACTCCACAGGGGCTGATAGGTCGCGATAAGGCGGAACCTGCCGATCTGCCCCGCTGTGCCCCGCTCGGAGAAACTTTTCTGTTGTCCGCTTGCTATCCACTCTTCCAGAATATCGCCTAACAGGAGAACTCCACATTTCTGTGAGTGTATAACTACTGCCTGGTTTGGTTTGTCTCCTAGCCATATTATCCCCTCCTGTCCCGATCGTATTTCGGAAATGATTACCGCCTTCCACTTTTGCTGTCTTGCATGTTCTACTGCTCTTCTAAGGCGGCTGCGATTTTGATCTCTGGTGGAGATGCCTTGTAGGTTCCACGTCACTATTCTCCTTGTTTTTTGGGTTTGTGTTTGGTGCGTTTGGTGCGTTCGGCTCTTCGGTTTTCTCGTATTGTCTTTTTTCGCCTTCTGGGCGTTTCCTTGTGATCTTCTGTCGGGTGTCTTTGCTCTTCCCTGCGAACTCTGTGAGATCCCTCTGCTCTATCTGGGACTTCAGAGCTCGGGGGGTCAGTTTTGTCAGGTGTCCCAGGAACTATAGTTCCCGTCGTTTTACTGGGTTCCCTGCACTGTCTACACTCGAAAGCGTAGCGTTCCTTTCCTGCGATCTAACGGATTTGTCCACGTGTCATTTCGCTGCATACCTGGTGTATCCATTTCATACACCATGTGCATTTGATGCTGCATCCACTGACTCTCTTTTGACACATCCCTTATTCGTACGGTGCTGGGTTTTGTTCCACGTCTCCAGCCATAACTAACAGCCGGGCCAGGTGGGCTGGTTTACCTGGTCCGGCAGAGAAAAACCCGGTCTGGGGAGGCCAAAGCATTCGATTGTTGTGAGAGGTGAAAGGGTCGGCTGGGCTTTTTCCACTCCGTTGGCATTCGGGAGGTTGCTTCGGATTCCGTTTCCAGTTTCCATAAGTTCCTTTTTCCGGTGCCCCCGTGTGAATCTTTGCCGCACAGAATGAATCGTGCGTCCCCACTTGCTCCACGGGGAGGAGTCCCCGCCAGCAAGCTTCCGGGTTGTTGCTTGTTGTTGTTTGTGCTTCCTCAACGTCGTCATCAGCAGTGTTGCCGACTGCTATTTCATAATCGTCCTTCTCCTCCTTGACTGCTGCTTCCACAACAGCAGATTGTTTTCGGAAACGTTGCGCCCAACGAAAATGAACCCAGTCAACAGTACAGCAACATAGTGATATTGATTCAATCAGGAGTTTGATTGTTAGAAAAACCACAACTTTTTCAAACCAATACAATTCATCTGGTTTGTGCCACATCTCTTGAAAAGTTAGGTTCATGTGACGATTAGCTTTTGCACAGCCAAACCACGTAAGTAGTATATGTGTGAGGAGAAGTGGGGGGGGGGTTATAAGAAGACCCCCATGTATTAAGATAGGGAATAGAGCATCCGGTCTCCAAGCTATGTATTAAGATAGGGAATAGGTTAGCTATGTATTAAGATAAGGAATAGGTTCCCTAGTGTAATAAGATGGTAAGGTTTTAGTGTGATGGTAAGTTTGAGAAAAAAATTTTCGGTGCCCGATCTTACCATGTTTTAAGAAAATGTATAGATTTCCTTATGTATAAGGATTAGAAATACATTGTAGGGATTTCAGAACTCATTAAGATAGGGAATAGGTTTCCAAAGTAATAAGATAAGGAATGATAAGGTTTCAGTGTGATGGTAAGAGAATGGTAAGAAAAACGGTAACTTTTTGGATTTTGTTTGGAAATGCCTAGATTTTTTGCAAAAATCTCGGTACGCGTTGTGCAATTGGTGAGTAATACATGTAGACTGTGTAATGAAGGTATATTGCAAAAATCTCAAGGTTTTGGCTAGTTTATTGTTGCTTGTGATCTAATTGAAAAAATATACATACGTGTAGAGTTTGAAATTAAGCTCAACTTCTAATTTAACTGGCAGCATGTTGAGGCAGTGATACAAAACTTTGAATAAAAATATGTATTTTTCCACAATTTTACTTCAAAATAATGACATACGATAGAAGTTACCCTAACTTGAGCCTAAAAAGCGGTTTATATAATGCTGTGAACATAAAAAAATCATATTAGCTGATTCAATTTTGAAACTTTCGGTTTCACAGGTAATTGATCGTAGTTTTCGAGAAAGTAAAAATTAATCAAATCTATCCAAAGTGTTCCGTTTTTGATCTTCCAATTGTGTAATTAACTGGTTTTTGACCAATTCAAGGAGAATTCACCTAAGAATTCTAACTCAAATGGACAATAAGAGCACTATTCATTGAAATTTTTAAATATAACTTACTTAAAAGTATATTAGTTTATATGAAATTCAACGAAATCTTCTTCAAAACTACTGATTCTCTATCTGTTGCTTCTACATTATTTTCATGATTTTTCTGCAGAAATTTCCTACGTTTCCAGGATATTCTTTTTTTTCTGCTTTTTACAAACTTTCGCTATTAAACTCACTTAGCAAGAAAATTTAGTCAGAACTGGGGAATTTGGAAGGAAAATGGGATCAAATGAACGAACAAATTGCTTGCAGAGATTAAATTAGAACTGATAACGTCTGATTATAACTTTGTAGTTTTTCCATGTTCTCCTTTAGGTGCCCTTGTTCAGTTACTACATTTAACTATTTAGGCAAAAGTACAACTATTGGATTGATTAACTATCACTTCTTCTGCAAAATAGTTAATAAAGATTTTTCATTCTTGATTTATGTCGGAACATGTAAAAAATAAGAAAAACGAGCTGTATTTTTACGTTGAGATTTTAGAACAAATTAAGAGCAGCTGGATTGTTTATAATCTGAAAACTTCGGAAGTAGAAATACGCAAGTGGGTATAGTTCCTTACTTCTGCAACATCTAAATACATCTAAAAGAACGCTTCTAAGAAAAATCAATTGAGAAACGGTTGTTGCACTTGTTGTTGTTGTAGTACTTTGAATTTGTTGTACTGATGAGGGATGAAATGGTCAACTTCAAAATTGGAATTCAAACAAAACTTTCGTTGTTTCTCCAATAAAATAAGAGTGAATTTTAGAGAAATTTTTCCACCGACATGATTTGTTCATGCAAATTTAAGGCGTAGTTGATTCTTCACGGAGGCTTCCCACAATATGTTCCAAAAATTAAACACTTGATATCAGATTCGCCAGCATAGTTTTCGAAAAAAAAATTCGAGGTCAATAACTTTTTGTAAAGCTTTGCTGCGCTTCGTAAGTGCTTGAGAACACGACGAAAAGCAGCTCTTTAAAAAGCAATAACACTAAGTAAATGTAAGCCTCGAATTAGTAGAAGCTCGGTTAAGTCTCGGATTCGATCTGCGCCCAGGAGATTAAGAGTCTCACATAGTAACCACTCAGCTAGTGTTTCTGATGTACTAAGCATGACTGTCAGTCGTTAGTGCGTGAGACTCGTACTCTCTAGGGCACAGATCGAATCCGTTTTAGATTTTAAAAAAAAACAGTGCTGTGGAGCTCCCGCGCATCGCTCAAAATTTTTTTTGTACTACACTAACGCTTGCAAGCTCGCTTATTTAAAAACACGATCGAATAATCCTAAAAATGTTTTTCTGAGGACAATAACATTTTTCCAAAGAGCGAAAACAGTGGAGATTTTCCGAACTCATCCACAACTCGATCTCATCATTGAGACAAAAATCTTAGATTTAGGGGTATTTAGGTAGAAAATTCAAAAAGTTTGTAAAACTATCAGAAAATCAAATTTGTGACTTTTCCGAAAACTCAAGAGATGTTCGTTTTTGAATAATTGAATTAAAAAAATTGAAAAATATGAGTCAAAAAACATCCCCCTAGTTTTTTTTGAATGCTGTAGAAAGTGTGGTAGGTTACATGAGACTAGGTCAATATATAGGCACATAGTGGAGTGGACGATCTTTTCAATGGCGCCCTCTTGAAAATCAGTAGTGTAGTTTGAGACATTTTTCCAATGCGTCTTTACAAAAATATATATTTTTCGTAATACCTGTATATCTTCGTAATACCCGTTTTCATCAATTTTTAGTTCGTAATTATCGTGTTTCTCCAAACTTTTAGCAAATGGATTTGATATGAACTTAAAAATTATAAATATATCATCGACCTTCTTCCATAATCAGGCCTGTGCACAGGGGCGGATTAAGGGGGGCGGACGCCCCTCCTCGGGGATTCGACACCCTGCCGAGCCAAAGGGTCCCCCTTTTGGTACTTTTTAAGAAATCTATTTTTAGCCGACCGACCCTAAAATTTTTCTAAAGGCGCCAAGAAATACTATTTTTGAGGGGGAGGTCGCGCCAAAACAACGCGATTTTTCGATCAAAATTTTCCAAAAGGTGCCAAAAACGTCTTTTTACTGCTTTGGAAAATCGATTTGGTCGACCTAAAAAAAAGGCCGTCAAAATTTTCGAATTTTTTTTGAAAATCCGCCCCCCCCCTCCCCTCGAGAAAATCCTAGATCCGCCCCTGCCTGTGCAAATTTTAATTTTAAAATTGCTTAGACCTTTCGCTGCTGCTTTCAATCTCATATTTTTGTAGCTTATGTGGAAAATAATTCAAATGCGAATTCTAAATTGACTCGATTCTACAGAGGGTAAATCAATAAACTTGATATGTAAGACAGTAGGATATTCCGATTGATATTTCAAAAATGACAGACTCTCGCATAGTTGCGCTAAATCTGAAGGCTAATTCGAGATTGATAGTTACAAAGGAATTTAAACTTTTCGCGATTAAATGTTTCAAAAACAGGGAGTTTCTTCAGAACAAATTTTACAAATTGATTCTGCTGGCTTAGCTTCTAAAAATCTATGAAAAAATTACAGGTTATCAGTTCTTCTCACTAGTAAACACAGAATTTCCTCCAAAAATTTCACTCTCAGAATCTTTTGGACGCGTTACAATTAGAATAACGAATGTGAGAAGTCTGCTGCATAAATTAGGAACAAACAACAACGAGAAGGATAGAGATAAACAGCGGGGAAAAAGACACAAACATCATAGCGTCCATTCAAAATCTGCAGCTTAAACTGGAAAGCGTCGTTAACAAATCAGAGCTGTGTCAAGGGATCATTGTAAGTGGACATGGCGCTGCTACCATACGAGTCGGTCACTGATCCTCCTATGCCGCTGGAGCTGTTGGCAGCACTAGCCGAGTTGGCCAGACTCTTCTGGACCGTGACGAAGCTGTGAACTCTAGGACCGTCATGGAAGCATACCTCCATGAACTCATCCTTACTCAGGCTGAACAGCTGTGAGCCGTTGAGGATTCCGAGACCTTCTACAGTTCTGAAATTGACATTTAACATGCGCATTTGAATTCTAATTAATATATTGATCAAAACCAAAAGGCTAAGTGAAGACAAAACAAAAAAGAGACATAGATCACACTACGCTTGTGTAAAAAAAGTAAAAACAATAATTGCCGTTTGCTGTGCAAGTAGCACAGAAATTTCTATCCATTATTTTTCTTTAAAAAAAAAAATTTTCCTTTCCTTTTTACTTTTCCAACTGGAGCTGCGCGTTGCATTGGAACCCTTTTAGTAATGATTCCAGCTAAATTGAAAATATCAAGTCAATAAAAAGTTGTAGCCTTGAGGCGAAGGATGAATAATTTTTTTTTCTAGAAATGAATGTGATGCGAAGATACTGCGCTTCTTACACAGCAACCGACTGTTCTGGTTCTTAGTAAATTTTGAACTTCACTGCGATTGGTTTCAAATTCACCGAAGCATGTAAAGCTTCAATACTTACAGACTTGAAAAGCCCTTGCTCGCCAGCCACTCATAGACCTCCTTAGGTGTTGACTCGTAGTTGATCACAGATGCTTTCGAGTTGTCCCCACCCGAGTGAGTGGAGGGGGTAGTCTTCAGTGGTGACCCTTTTGATTTCACATTCAACGTCACAACTGAATTAATTTCTTTCTGGGGTTCCTCTTTTTTCGGCGTGATAGCTTTACCCGCTGAAAATAACCATTAGTACTCATTATGGATGGTGTATTTTTAAATAATCACGAAGAATATGGAACAAATGCATGCATGGTTACAGCTCAGGACAAAGCTAAGAAATGCAGGGCGCTTGAAATAAAGAAACTAGATGGAGAAATAGTTTTTCATAACACATAAAAAAGATGAACGACAAAATTGGTAGACTTGTTGAATGGTGACTAAAAACAATACATCTGTATAGTTTTGGATTTTGAGATGGGGCGCGGCGGACGCCTCTAAAAACGGCCAAAAAGGGGCAAAACATTTCGATCAAAATGATTTGCAATTAGATAGAAGTGGCATACATTAGCCTTTGTTTTAAAATGCAGTTTTTGATGCTAGGGTATGGCGCAATGGCGCAGATAAAGAAATGTAGCGCAATTTTTTGTCGCGCTTTAACTTGACAGAGTTTGGAGCTAGGGTATGGCGCAATGGCGCCTTTGTTTTAAAATGCAGTTTTTGATGCTAGGGTATGGCGCAATGGCGCAGATAAAGAAATGTAGCGCAATTTTTTGTCGCGCTTTAACTTGACAGAGTTTGGATGTTCTTTTATGTAAGTGGGCATATTATGCAATACATTTGAATGGGTTTCCGCTCCTTATCCTCTGCATGAGCTCATCCTGTAGTGAGTCTTGCAGTGAGGGCTGAACAGGTGCTGCGAAAACAGAGACACAAACCAACATTAAAGTCATCTAGGCCTACTGCAACTACTTTATGTCAGTTTCTACATTTCACATTTAGAAAAGATAATTATAAATTTATATATAAGTTAAAGTAAACCATTCTAGTCTATTGAATAGAAGAAAAGATGTTTCAAAAAGTTCTCTCAGCGTCGAGGAAAACTGGTATTTATAAATCAACCCAACTTAGCAAAGTGTGAATGAAGTTTTATAAGCTTCATTTGAAGTCACTCTCTATTTCTACTGTTCACTCTTTTTCCATTTCGCAATACCCCAATGTTTAATTAAGGTTTTAAGAGCGTACAACAATTTGCAACTTCATCTGCCATTTCGAGAAAACAATATTGGGAAAAAATCATTTTCTATTTTTTGCAATAATAAGAGCAGTAATATTTGGTGCAACCTTCGCAACAAGTGGATACCCTTGTTTCATTTTCGAATACCTTAATCATACAAAAATTCAAAAGATTTTAAAAATCCAACTCATTGAAGTTTAATTCGATTTTTAATTCGATTCGGTTTTCCTCGACTTGACAGAGTGCAAAAATACCAGTTTTACTTGACAGAGTGCAAAAATTTTATTGAAAAATTCACCTGGTTTTGCTTTGGGTTTCGCCACTTGTTTCACCACCGGTTTCGGCTGCAGTGCCTCGGGTGGTGGGGGAGGCGGAGGGGCGGGTATTGCAAATGCGGGTGGGCCCGGGGGAGCTGGCGGACCATTTTGGGTCACCGCAGTCCGCTGAGGTTGAACAGTTGCAGCAGCATGAGTGTTGAACACCTGCAAGAAAAGTTGAATGATAGTAAACATAACCGACAGTTGGAAAAGAGTCAATCAACGCAAGTGAACAGAAAAAAAAACCATAACTTGTTTTTCAAAATTTTCGAATATCAAAGTAAAAAATACGTGGCCTTCAAATTCTTGGAATTTCAAGAACAGTTATTCTTGACACTTTTTTGATAAAGTTACTTATAATAAAGTAACTTGATAAAGTGTTTTGATAAAATTTGAGAAAACTGGATCAATAGTTAGTTTTTATTTCCCAAAACAAATTAAATTCCACATTCGAAACTAGAAATCGATCATGTTTCTCGTGACCTTTTCACTTTTGTTGTTCAATAAAGGAGTTTTGATTTAACAAAAAAATCAAAATTCAAACGGCGAAAAATCAAAATTGAGCGTGAACAAATTTTAAGTCGGTTCTTTAAAAAAACATCACGACCTATACAAGGTTCTTCACTGGTCAAAACAAAATCTGAACAACCGATATGAATTGACTCAGCATTTCAAAACAAACTTTCACGCCAGGAAATTTTTGAAAGTGTTTAGATGTCTTGAATTCCTTTGCAAAACTGAAATCTAAATTTTGGAAACCAGCTTTTTAAGTGAAAATTGAAATTTTATTTGGGTATGAGCGCCAATATCTGCGGGCTAAAACTTGAAAATTTATGAAGCAAGCTTTCAAGCCGTTTGCTGAACTGAATGAATTTGCGAAAAATCAGAAGCCGAAAAAGATTTGTGAAAACAAGCTATGAAAATCATAAATATTTAAAATTTCTTCGACAGATAAAATTGATTCGCTGTTGCTAACTTAGCTTGATAGCTTGAATTGATCAGCTATAAATACAAAAAATTTCAGAAAAATAAAAATGCATGTTTTGATGGCTAGATTTGATAGGCAAAAAGTTGGCTTTTTGTTGCAAACTATACAAGAGATTAAACTTGAAATTTATTTTTTTTATATTTTATTTGAACTGGCTAATTAAAAGTCAATATAAAACGCAATTGACACATATCTCGCCGTATTAAAGCTTTTTTGCCGTATTAAAATAAACGTTTGAGATAAGACCTAGTTCGCTAAAACGATATCTATCTTCTAAGTTTTCGCTAGCATTCAACGGAGCAGAATTATTCAATATTGAGCAGAAATTTCCCGGTCCTATCAAGTTAGCCTGTATCAGAATCACAAGTTACGGAGTTTATTTAGAATGATTTATCTTCAAAAATAGTCAAAGTTTGACTGAATTTTAACGAAGACTCAAAGATAGGTGTTTGTTGCGCTGCGATTCCTTTTCTTTGTCCTACTCACTCTTCCGATGCCCTACATTGCTGCCTTGTTTTGCGCTTCCCACAGCCTTGCCCTGCTTGGAGCTACCCTGTTGCGTTTCCCTTCGCTGCGATGCACTACTATTCCTTGCGCCGCCCTATGTTTCGCTACTCTGACTTGCTTTGCGCTGCCCTCCGTTGGTTTGCAATGTGCTGCTCTGCCTTGCGCTGCCCTGCCATGCTCCTCTCTTTTCCATGCAGCCTCTCTTTTCCATGCAGCCTCTCTTTGCCATGCAGCCTTTCTTTGCGCTGCCCTGCCTTGCGCTTCCTTAAGTTGCGCTACTTTGTCGTGCCTTAATTTGCGCTACTCTGCCTGGCTCTTCATTGGTTTACCCTGTCTTGCCTTGCTTCGCGCAACCATGCCTTACGTTGCCGGGTCCCTCCTTGACTTACACTGCCATTCCTTGCCTTCTGCTGCCCTGCGCTGCTTACCCTTTCTTGCCCTGCCCTACGCTGCTTACCCTTTCTTGCCCTGCCTTAACCCGCCTTGACTTGTGCTGCCCTGCCCTCGCTCAAAACAACCTGTCTAAATATTTTACCTTGATCTTTCCAAGCTCACTTCATCTAAAAATTTAAGGTGTAACTTAAATGGATTTTTTGAACGTTACTAGTGGTGAAATGTTAAACATAGCGGGGCCACAGCAATTGAAAACGACTTACAATTTAAATATAAGATACATATCCCACCTTACAATTCAATTTCAAACAGCGGAAGTCTTAACACCTTTCTAGCTGTCCACGCATAGTCTCAATTTGCACGAAAATATTCGTTTTAGCAGATGAATCCCCTTAAACCTTAAGTGAAATAGAAATATGATGTTGTCGATTATTACAATACCTGTTGTTCTTTGAGCTTGTTGGATGTGTCGACTATATTATGCATGTGGTGGTGGAAGGTGGGAGTGGGTTCCAATTGGGTGCTGCCACCGCCAATGGAGGGGGAGGATAGGATGACATTGGGCACATAGCCAGTCTGGCCAGAGGTGTTCTTCACCGCCCACCATTTGCGGGTACTGTCTACAATCTACAACATGAAACAAAGCTCAAAAAACGCTCAAACTCTTCTCTAGAATTCTATAGCAAACCCTAGAAACCCTTAGTTGTACAATCGAATTTATCCGTCGATACAGTTTAAACATAGCCATTACCTCGAGTACTTCTCCCTTGCGCACTGTTAGCTCCTTGTAGTTGCCAGCCACGAAGTCAGTCTTCACCACAACAGTAGAGGGCGGAGACGATTTGAGGAGGGAGGAGGGTGTGGGGGCTGCTGCACTAGGAGGGGGCACCACTGGCATCGAGTGTCTATTGGGCAAGGGCTGAAACACATGTACAACACTCATTATACAAGCCAAGAATGTACTTGACCTTCAGAAATCAATTTTTAAAATTCAAGGTAAGAGCAATCAAAAGCAATTTGCGAGGGAAAACAAGTTAAAATTAAACTAAAACATAGCCAACAGGCAGTTGGAAAAGAGTCAATGAACGCAAGTAAACAGAAAAAATACTGATGTTTTTTTTAAATCTCAACAATCGATTTCCAAGAAAAAAATAGATGGCCGCAAAGCTCTTCGAATTTCAAGAACATTTTTTTTGATACTAACCAAATTTGAGAAAACTGGATCAATAGGTAAAATTTTTATTTCGCTGGGAGAACTGATAATTAAATTCTATTTTCGAAGTCGATCACATTTTAATGACTTTTACACTTTCGCTGTTCGATGGGAGTTTGCCTTATTGTCAACAAAGGAAATGAATTGAACTTCATGAATTGAACAAATCAGAAGTCAAACAGCGAAAACGTAAATTTGAGCCTGAAAAAAAAAATTGTCGAAAAAAAATCATCAAGGGAATCAAGGATGATGCACAAAAGGGACCTTCACGACAGAAAGACATCCATTCAACCTCTCACGGTGTTTAGGATCACAGAAATTGCGTAACATGAAAGCGAAACTTGGAATGCAAAACGCTTCATAAGGGTTGCAATTATAGGGATATCTGAAGACATAGTCTACATCACACTACACTAATAACCTTACATCTGCTAGTGAGCTAGTCGAAACAGCTCTTGGGAGAGGGGCTAGCTCTTGTGGGGGAGGGGGAATGGCAGACAAGCGTCTGCCGCTGTAGTCATGGTAGCACTCTGCCAGCACATCCAGAGAGGGTCTCCTCGATTCTCGATGGTGAAAATGGTTAGTGGAATCCGAATATGAAAACTCAGTTGTCAGCTGCAGTCAAAATTTATTGAAGAGCTAACTAGATCAGAAACTGTTCTTTTTTAATGCAGCAGCTGGCAGAGAAATCGAAATATAAATATATGGCGCAGCGATAGTCCGGCAACAGACCATTCAGCCAATTGAAAATTATACACAATTCACGTCCAACTGAATTCACGACCAATTCGATTTAAATAAAGAGGGTAATAGCTCGTCTAGCAAAACTTTCATTTTGATTTATTTACCAGCTGATACATGTCTATTTGGTAGCTGCACACCACAGAGTCTGAAATTCAGCTTGAAGATTCTTTGAGAACGTCTCAAATGATTCTACGATGATTTAAAATCCGCTGAACTATCTTCGAATGAATTAATCGAATAACAAATTTCGCTGAGTGCCTACCGTGTTTGATTGTGAGATAGCAGCAAATGATGATGGCCTAGCATGTCCGTTTCCCAAGCTCTGGGGTGGCATCCTGGGAGAAGCTGTGGAGGTCAAAGATGAAGACGGATTTGGGTTCGACTGTCGAGGTGAGTTGGAGGAGTCAATGAGGGGAGGAGGTTTCCATCCATCCAAAAACACAGGCACATATGCTGGCACAAAATGCTCCTTCGGCCAACTCTCTCTACAAAACAAAATGATCAAAACACAAACTGATGTATTAAGCTTTAGTTTTTATTTAAAATGTTGATGTTTATTTTGCCTACAAGTTTTGTTGGTACGTTTTGTTGGAATTTCTGTTTAGCAGAAGTTTTTTTATATAATGTAAAAATTTAACAGCTTTCTTGTTAAAGACGACACCACTAAAACCAACACAAGGGTCTTCACTACATTCTTGAAAAGTGACGATGTCAAAAATAAGAATACCTGGGCACGTTCCACGCATTGCCCAGATCATTCCACAGTTTCTTCTCATCTGTAGACAGGCATCCCTTGAGCAGGTCCACTGCACCCTGGGTGAGGAGTGGGGAGTACACGTTCTTGGCTATCTCCATGGCCACTGAGTTGGGGTCGTTCACTATGCGACTGAGGGGAGGAAACAGGTGGTGCACTAGCTCAGGCGCACTCGGGTCTGAGATCAGTTTCTTCAATGGGGCCTGAAGTAAGGATTGTAAATTACCTCTAACTAAATAGTTCATTGCGTCAATCATGAATAATGTAATTTTCATATTGATAAATTCATCACTCCAAAGTCAAAATAACAATATCAGAGTCATACCGACTACGATTCAACAATCATTTTAAATATTGATGCAAAGCTTGGATCTTATGTCATTAACCTGTCTAGACATGGCCTTAAATCTGCTGCTTTATGTTTATTCAAACTTGAGTATATTTTTTCCAATATTTTCTTTTATGTTTTCAGATTTATATATTTTTCCTTGTCTTTGAAGATCACAAATTTGTCTTTCATTTGATAAAACGGGCAGTGCTGTGTAACCAAAATGGGTTCGTTAACTGTCCCCTCACTGTTTCTGGTGCTTCCTATTTAAATTCTCGTTGTATGCAAATTTACCATTAACAATGAGAAATAAGTTCTTTCTTTCCATACACAGAGGCGAAGCGGAAAAAATATATTAAAAAATTTAACAAAATTGTGCTTACCAAAATTTTAAATTTCTCGATAGGTCTCGATAAAACCTCATGTCAGGGAAAAATCCCAAGAAGTTCTATATTAAAAAAGCAACGGAACAAAACTTACTGAGGGGCAACTAAGTTGACAATTTTTGAGCAGACCTAAGTTGATCCAAAAAAAAAATATGATAATAGAAAAAATCTCCAAGTTTTAAGTCACACCTGAGACCACAATAGACAACACTCGCACTACAATGAGAGTGGCTTACCGCTCAAGAAAAATTTATAATGTACCACCTAAGCCGACAATCTTTGAGCAGACAACAGTTGAGCCGAAAACAAAAATAATTTTATGAAAAAAAATCTTTCAAGTTCCCCCTGTTACTAGAATGAACAACACTTGCACTTGCATGAAAACTGCTTACAGCACAAACAAAAACCGTGAGGTGGCAACTTAGCGGACAAAACTTGATCAGATAAATGAAAGTCCGACAACACAATTTGAACCGATTTTTTTTTCAATTGCATATAAAATAAAATAAACAAGGTCCGACCGAAACGCGAACCCCAGAACATTAGGATGCAAAGTCAACGGTATAACCCTAGGGCAATTGGGAGGGAAGTTGAAAGATATTAGGGTTCAATAATAAAGAAAAGATTTGTAAAAAAAATGAGTAAAGAAAAGAATGTGTGAGTCGAAAAAATTGTTGTACCATAAAATTTGAGCTGTAAAATTTTAAAAGATTTTACAGAACACTAAAAGCTTAAAAACATATTTTCCCTCAAAACTGCGCAACATGATTTGACTAAACTGAAATAACATTAGCCGAAACCGTTTAATCGAGAAAAAAAACTAACAAAATAACAAATTAAAGAACGTTCAATCATGGAAAGTAAGCCAAAAAAACGTACCAGACAATACAAACTGCATTTGAAAAAATAGAAAACGAGCCGAAAAAAACAAGGACGAAAAACCACCATTACAAAAAATCTTTTTTTTTCAAGAACTTTATTTGAAAAAATCTATTACCCTTATTACTACCTAAATCATGGTAGTTTTATTTATATTTTCAAGAAAATGAGCATGTCAACAGTCGTGAAATTGAAATTTACCCTTCCTCTTAATTGACCATTCTGTGAAGAAAATTTTTTACGGGAAAAAATAATCTCGTGCCCGATTGCAATACCCTTGCTTATCGCAAGGGTAAAAATCGCCTGATTTGAGAATCTTTTTGTGTGTTCAAATCTGAAGCAACTCAAACCAAGTTTATGTCAATAAAAATGGCTGCACCTCTCTGAATGAGCGACTTTGGGGGAAATTTTGTTTGTAACTGTAAACTATATATTCCTATTTCTGTTAAGACATTGTTCTAGACGCCAGTTTACTCACGAGGAGGTTGAATGCTAGCTTGAACTTCTGGAAAGCGTCGATGAAGTCTGTCTGAGGTGGCATCTTAGCCCTGTACTCCAGCATGTTGTCTATAACAATCAACATCATCTAAGTAAAACCTGTTCTGGTTTGTGAGTGAATGAACTGATGCGCATCTATCGTCCCAACGTCTTCGTCTTATAATTCAAAATTATAACAAAACGCAGCTATTCTTTCTTCATTAAAATGAAGCATATCTGAATTTGATAGAACGTTACCCAATTTCTGCTTATTCTTCTTCTTTTGTCGTCTCATATCCAGTTCTTTCTGTGCATCATGCACGTGTTTCAGCTTCTGTGCAAAGGCCTCGATATCATCAAAACAATGATTAAGAATATCCACTTGTCGCTCCATCCTCACAGCCAATTGTTTCCTGCTCTCCGATTTGGAGTCGTGGTGGTGTGATCCCGAGGACGTGTCGCGGCTGCTGACACTTGCCGATGCCACAAGAGTGTCGTCTAGATTATCCACGACATCATCCGTGTAGAAATCCTCTTCGAAAGAGTTCGCCCCGTTAGCATGATCTAAACGGCAGCAGATACATAGATCTTTTTCGCTTCTATCGAAATATCTCCTGCAGCTAAAAACAACGTGCAGCAGAAAGTAATTCGAAAAGTTGTTATTCATCATTGGATATTATAAGATGCTGGTCACATAAAATAAAGGCTTAGAAAATAAACCCCAAAAATTGGCGCAAAACATCTAAACTTTGTTTACAAATAATTTTTTTATTTTATATACTAAAAATGACATTTTATGGCTAGGAAAAAAATTATTAAAAAAGAGATTATACCCTTCCTAAACTTTGTTGGGCTACATAGAAGGCTCACTCTGATATTGTTTTGTCAGCAATTGATCCGGTAGTTCTGGCGTAATTATTCATCGACTTAATGAAGCCAAAAATGTTCGTTTTTGGAGGAAATTTTGAACCCAAATTTTGCAAAGTAATTGCATCCAATTATTTCTGGTAAATTCTAAGCAATTTTTGCCCTACTCATTTTTTGTCCTAAGTTAACCCACTTTGAAAAAAACCGCTCTTTATTTTTCAGGTTTTATTCCTTTTGCCCGGATAATTTAGATGAACACTTTATGCTTACAAGACAGACTGATATGTTGATGATTCTCATCCTGATGACGACTGAAAGCGTCTCCATTTAACCCATTCGACATCCTAAAAACACATTTACACCAATGAAAAACCCAAATGAAACTTTATCAAATTATTTCATTAGTATCAAAGCAGTATCTACTACCTTTCATTTTGTGAGAAGGGTCGTCCGTTGGAATGACTGTGGTAGCTATCGTTAAAATTCTGACCACCAAACTCTTCCAGATAATCTGGCTCTAAAAATAGCACGTTTCTTATTTAGAATCAAACATCAACTTCCCCGTATCTAATAGCAGGGATGACCACCGTAGCACTTAAGGCCTAGTGCTGAAGCACATTACACTAAGCACGTCTTCTCTATCGCCATGCTGCGAGATCTTCACTACGACCAATAACACAACTGGGATCAGATCTAACCTCGTAGTCTAGTCAAGATCCGTAAGGAGTTTTAATTTTAGCTACGCATCTCGCTTCGCAACATGCTATTATCACTACACTGATTTAATGATGTTGTTCATTTCACTTTATAGCTAACTTTACTAGGCTGCATAATATCGACCATTCAATCTCACCTGATTTGGACTTGAAAATCTTTTCGAAAAAACCTGAAAAATCAAAATGGATGAAAAGTTAGTAACTTCAAAACTTTGTCTCTAGCTACGGTAAACCATTTTAAAAACAATTTTACAATTTCATTGAAAAATATACGGTCATGTATCATAACAGTTCTTAGGAAGTCGGCTGAAGTAGGGTTTTGAAAACAAATTTAACTGAAATGATTCTGCAAGAATCAAGCAACATACCCGTTATCCTCCCTCCGGATCGTTTAGCTTGTGAGTTGGCAGGGGACGAACTGTGTCCGCTAATAGAGCCCCGATTGGCAGAAGCGGGCACTGCATTGGGGTTGTAGAATGTCATCGGGTAGTGACCTTGGGGAATGGTGGATAGGTCATGGGCTGACCTGCTCATAACTGGTGAGGCTGCGACAGGATATCCGCTGAGGCGCTGCTGACTACCATTCAGACTACTCTGCTTGACTTTACTGAAAATTAAAAATCCTTTTCCATCGAGAAAAAGAAGAACCTATCATATTTCATCAGTCAGTTCAAATTTCAGAATTATCCCATGGAAAGGGATCTCATCCAATCTTTATAACAGCAGATGATACACTTATGAGGTTTGAATCAGCAAACGGGGTTCATTTAACCATTTTTTTTCCATTAAATAATTCAAAAATAATGGAACCAAATAATTGAGTTTTCAGAATACTAATTTGGCAGGCAGCCGAAACTTGTGCCTTGAATGAACATATTTTGTTTTTCGACCGACAAATACAGCTTTCCAGGAGAGGAAAAACTTCTGAAGATGATCGCACTTTATTCCCTTCCAAGCACAGTTCAGTGAGCATGGGTCTCACGGAACAACAGTATTGCATCAATTCACTTATTCTGGTTTAATTCAAGGTTAATTAATTGTAGTCTGAATAAGGTATTGGCTGAGGCGTGAATACCAACTTTCTGATATGCAGAGGAGGAACTCTAAAAACGTCAGACAACCAATGATATCAAATTGATCATTTTTCAAATCCAGTCTAGTGGAAACGAATACGATTTCAAACTCAGCCGCAAAGCAAGACATGAGAACAATCATTATATCGTATTAAAAGAGGCATGGCTATACTAACGCATAGTTTGCTCAACTCATCGCACCATTATCTGAGCATCATAGAATTCGCGAAATTCAGACAGGTCATTAAAATTACAAGCTTAAGGCTTGAAATTAATTTTTACTGATTTTGGTAACAATTTTTAAAGTTCTGGTACCTTCATTACAAATCACAACAGGTGGTCACTTCTACGCTTGTTTACTTTTCAATCAAGAAATACGTCAATTGATAAAAGTGAAGAAAACATTTTTCATTCATTGCGTTCTTCGGATTTTTGCTCTTTGAAGTGACTCTGGCCACTTTCAGATACTTCAAATGCTGTTCAATAAAGTAGTATCATTATTGCTTATAAAAATCACAGAATGCAAAAAGCTACTTAAGCTAAGTATATCATTACTCTACACCTTTTAAGGCCTAAGTTGTTAAACTAATCTGCAGAAAATGATATGATCTGATATTATATGAGTGATATGATATGATATGATCTGATCTGATATGATACGATATGAAATATTGTGATATGTTATGTTATGATTGGATAAGATGTGATACTGTTTGATACGATATGATACGATTTCTTGTGATGAGATTTGATACGATATTAAAGATATGATTTAGTTTAGTTTGATTTGATAAGATATGATAAGATATCTTATGATATGATTTGATTTTATATGATTTGATATGATATGATACGATTTGATATGATATGATTTGATATATATTAAGTTTATGATAAGAAATGAAATGAAAAGATATCTTATGATTTGATATGATGTGATAAAGTTATAACGTAGTTGAGATCGAAATAACTCAGGCGCAACTTTTCGTGACTGGTATTAATTGTTTAGTTGAAGAAGTCAAGGGCTATTCATCAGTGTGGTTACATAATGCATGATGAGATAGGTGAAATGTACGGACCTTTTCTGGGCAGCCTTTGCATATTTGGATGGCTTGGATCTGTGGTAGTGTTCCATCGCCAGTTTGATCTCACTTGTCACTTCGTCCGCCTAAACAAAACAGAGCCCAAACTTCTAATAAAACATTTTAAAATAGGTTTTCTCAACCATATGCAACATTGATTGCAGAAAACGTTTTGATGAACTGAAGCCGAAATGGAACGCCGACCTGGAGTTAACGAGTCCCACGCCCTTAGATGATGGCTTGAAAATAGGCAAGCCCCGGCCAGCAATAAAGCGGCTGGAAAAGATGCGATTAAATTGCCAAATCTGTAGCAAAAGTGCCATCAAATGAGCACTTAATTGCGAGCTTGGTTAGAACATGTGGATGGACTCGTAATATAACACTACGCTCGCATATGTAATAAATGTTAACACAGAAGCAAAGCGGAGCATCGCACCACTTGCTATAAAACACAAACATAAAAACAACATGTTGAATGAAAAATGTTGAAAAAACTAGGTGAACAAACTAGCGACCCAATTAAGGCTGGAAGTACCTTTTTGATATTTTCGAAATTGTTCTACTGATACGGGTTGAAACGGGTATATTCAAACATCGTAATTTGCCCAAAACCTTCAAGGATACTCCACTAATTAGATTACTTAGTAGTAAAATCAGTTTGAAATTTTCTCAAAAACAACATTTTTCTTGCAAAAAATTAACAAGACGCCAATTCTGCGGAAAAAAATTCTCGCAACCGGTTTTTTCGATTACGAAGCTCTTCATCTCAGGTATGATAGGTTAGTTTTTAAGTTTCTAAAAAATGGCCAAAATTTCAAAAACAAGACTTTCCGTAATCCATAACTTTTTTCAGCAAAAAGTAGGTCGTGGCCGCTTAAGAAAAGAAGATTCCCAAAATCGGATTACTCGATTGAACTCTTAAGCCAAGAATTGGCACGGTGGTTCTCGAGAAAAAGTTTTCAAAAACCTGTCAAAGTTTCAAACCTTTCTAAAAATGGCAGTGGCATCTAATGCAGGTAGGCTTTCAAAATCTTATTTCGATTAACTCCTTGATATAAGAATTGGCAGGATACTTAAAGAAAATTTACACAAAATGATCAACAAATCAAAAATTTGTCAACAAATCAAATCTTTTTGTGTAAGAGATTGGGGCGCAGCTGCTTCAACAAAAAAGATTCTCACAATCTGATATACCGATTGAACCCAAAAAGTCAGATTTGGGAGCGTAGTTTTCGAGAAAGTTCAAATTGTCTCAAAAAACGCGAAAAAAGCAAAAGCTAACTTTTCCAAGGCTATAACTTTTTAAGTAGCAAAAAAAATTTAGCGTAGTCAATTAAGCATGGGATTTCCAACAACCAGTTATTTTGATTCGACCGACAACCTCAGACTTCAGAAGGCAGTTCTCAAGAAAAGTTTCAAAAAACGGTCAAAAATCAAAATTTTCCGAGCGCCATTACTCTCAAATGTAAAAAAAATGGGTGTAGTCACTCACGCAGGGAAGCTTCACACAACCCGCTCTATCCATTATATCTGAAATCTCAAATTTGAAAGGGTGATTTTTGCGAGAACGGAAAAAAATATATATGGGTCAAAATTTCTCTTATAGACTTTTGAGAAGGCTGCAGACAGTTGAGCACTGCAAAACATAGATTAGGTGATTATGCAGGCACACAGGGAAATAGGCAATTTTCTCTATGATACGGTAGTTTTTGAAAATCGGCACGGTCCAACGAACCGAAAAAAGCACTGATTCTTTATACAGAAATGAATATATCTATATGGCATCTTTTTTGATAGATATTTTTAGTTTAACTAAACCAAAGAGAACAAGGGTAGCCAATGGCTGTGCAAGTAGCACAAAAGTTTCCGACACACTCCAAAAATTACTTAAAATGCTGATTTTTCTTCAAATTAATGTTGTTTTTGTTGAGTCGTGTGAGACCTGGATCCGATGAAAACCTAAATTTACAGAAATTCGACAGTCAGAGTAAAATGGATCAATAGGCCAACGGTTTTAAATGAAAAATTACAAAAAAAAGTAAATATAAATCGTTTTGAAATTTTCGGAAGATGGCGCTAAAAAACTTCGAAAAAGAATTTTACTGGACTTCAACTTAAATTCTCCAGAAGTCTGATTCTTCTATAATTAGTCTGCTCGCTTGTTTAACTCGCTCCAAATTAAACTAGAACTCAAAAATTTCAAACCAGTTTTTCTCGACACTCGGACGTTTCGATAAAAAATTTAATATCGTTCGAATCAGGGATGAAAGGGGTTTAAAATGATTATTCACTCCACCCATTATGATGAATATTTGCAAGGACTGCAAGGACTTTAACATGATATATCGTTCGACGCCTTCAGATGATTATTTGTGGCACCTGATTTTGCGTGCGAAACATAAAATAAACACCCGAATACGATGGTCGGAACAATAAACTGGATCGATATATATTTCTTCAAGGAAACCTTAAAATTTAAATCCACTTTTAAAATTTAGGTCAATCGTAAACTTTTGCATCATTTGACTTTCACTTCTTAGAGAACGAAATTTTCCCTCATTAAAGCAAACGAATTTGAAATGAACATATACAGGAATCAACAGCCAAGCCACGAAAAATCAACTTGATACTAATTCCTGGGGAAAAAAAAACAATATGTAAAAAAGGCCAAAAAAAAATTATAACAAGCTATACTAACTCTGTTTGCATAAAATAACGAGATGTTATGCGAAACGAAAATAAAATCCAAAGCAAGAATTGTTTCTGCATAGAAAACATGCATATTTTCAAGAATACAACCATGAATTCAAAAAAACTTATGATCGACACTTTATTGATGAAATTAACAAATTCTAAAAAAATAGATCAATAGTTTACATTAAAATTCCGCTGAAAATCTGAAGTTTAAACTCCACTTTCGAAATATAAGTCGCTCCCGTTTTTTCACGCCATTTTCGCTTTTAAAAATTATCAAGACCTACACAAGTGAAAATCGTTTTGTTCTGATTATTGAAAAAATGTCAAAAAACAAGGAAACCGGAAAAAATTGATTGATTTTATTAAAAACTTTAGAATTCCGAAAACTATAAATATCCAGTTAAAGCTATTTAAAACACAAGAACTTGACAATTACTTTTTGTCATAAAACGAGCCCATTTGGAAAAAAATCGAAGGGTGTTTTTATAGCGCTAGGAAAAACATAATATTCATTTACGATTTTTATTCTTGCAAATGGAGTTTTTTCAATGGAGAAGAAAATATGTTAATTTATGCAAAAAAAAATTGAATTGAGCTTAAAAAGTAAACAAGGCAACAGAAAGTTGGAAAAGAAGCAATGAAGGCAAGGAAACAAAAAAAAACTAATTTGTTTTCGAAAACAACTTCAATTTCCAAATTTCAAGCTGTTACCAAAAGCCGAAAGCCTTTGATTGTCAAGAACAAGCTACTATTGACAAAATTTTGTTGAAACTAACTCAACTTGAGAAAATTGGATCAAAATGCAAAATTTTTTTTCGCTTAGAAATCTCGAATGTAAAATCCATTTTCGAAATTAGAAGTGAATCGCGTTTTCCGTGACCTTAACACTTTTGCTGCTCGATAGTGGAGTTTGCCTTTGCTTTCACAAAAAAATGAACTGAACTTAAAAAACTTGAAATGTCAAACTGAGAAAAATCAAACTTTTTCCTGAAAAAAAAACATCAGGACGACCTAATAATAAAACGTTCATCGACTTTTTTTACATAAGTCACACAGCCAAAAGTCAAATTGGGGCGCCATCAAATTTCCTTTAAAAAGGGGAAAAATCAAAACGACCTATATAAACTGTTCACTACGTTTATTCACCCTTAATTTTTAGATCGACCTCCAAATTTGTTAAACAAATTTTTTTCAACAAAAAGATTGATCTCCAATTCAAAATGTGGCCGCAAGAGTTGTATTATTTAAAAAGTTAAACACAGGAGAATCGGAGCTTCGCATCCCTTGCAATACAATAGTAACATAAAAAACATACGTCGAAAATGAAAAGTGTTGAAACTAGGTCAACCAAAACTTAGATTTTCGAATGTATCGAAAGAAGTTCATTCTAGAAATACTTGACAATTGAACAAAAAATTAGCAATGAAACAAAACTTATGCAGAGGAAACAAATCTGAAAATCTTCGATCAATCACAAGTTAGCCAAAAAACAAGTATTTAAAAAGATTTAAAAGTTTACAGTCACCTTGAAATTACATTAAACAAAACTTGCAACTAAAACTTAATATATTTATATCACAAGAATAATGCGTGATAGGGCAACGCATCCGGCAGCGATTCTGCAAACACATGAACCGAAATTCGCTTATAGAACAAGATAATTTCTGGATGTAGCAGCTAAGCCGACAAAACTTGAGCAGACAAAATAATTTGGAATGTATTTAACTAAACGCAACCATACTACTATAAACGTAATAAATTAGAATGTATGAAACCAAATTGTGTAAAAATTATGAATTCAAAAATCTCGCGAGGTAAATCGACTTGGAAAATTACTGAAATAGGATTTTAATTATTATACTGTTGTATGAAACAAATTACTTTTTTCCGTTCAAATGATGAATTAAAAAACATTGTTAGTTTGTTTCTAATCAAATGCCAAAGCTTTTGTGATTATCATGCTAATAGAGCCTTCCGATTCAGAAGTGCCACCAAAAGTTGCACTTATATTTGCGACGATTTAGGTAGGAAAAAAAGTTGCATCGTACTATCACACTACGCTACGCTCGTGTAATCAATAAATGAGTTACTATTTTTAACTAAGAAAGTAGCTTCGAGAACAAAAGTTTTTGTTTAAAGGGTAAAACAGCATAATTAGGTGAACTAACATCGCAGTGGTCACAATGAAAAAGATAGATTTCCGGCTTCCGTCCAGTCATGTCAGTGTAGATGATGGCCAGAATGCTCTCCAGGTGGTAGTCCTTGATCACTACGGCTTCCACGTGAGCTACTCCGCTGTAGGGGAATCGGTCTATCAGCTCCTTAAGTCAAAACTATACACATCAAGACAGGAAAGCTACTGTTGACTCAAAACAAGTAAACAACGAAATCAACCTGTTTTTGATTACTGTTTTTTAAATAAAAATATTTTTGAATTAAAAGTATTCGAAAGCCAAACGTTGTATCATACGTAAGAATGGCTCAAAATACTAATAATTGCGAAGAGAGAGTGTGCTTTTTCATTTTGAGCCATCTATTTATCCTCTTTTGCTGCAACTTAACCCAAAACTTAAGCACTTACAGAGGAGTTGATATCGTACAGTTTGATTTCGTCTCCCGACACACGCAGCTTCATCTCCTGCGACCATATTTTATTCTTCACATCTTGCAACTTCAATTTCCGAATAGCATCATCTACTGTCCACAATGCGTCTTCGCGTGACATCGTGAACGAAGTCAAGTGTTCCACTGTGAAGTCAGCCGAACTGGAGTTGTTCACGCTCGAGACTCGCGAAGACACGGACACGGCGGATCCGACTCCATCCCCTGCCGAGAGACGGTCTGAAGCCGACATATGGTTGTTTCAATTCAAAATATAAGATAATACAATCCACGGAACAACAAATAAAGAATTAAGGTGACAAAATCATTTATTTAATACTTTCGCATCAGTAATCAGATATGTCAAACTATGTCATACATTTTTGTTTCAAAAGGAACACAGCTTTCATTGGAATTAAGGTCAAATTTTTTACAACACTTATGCCATGACAGCTTGGTAAACTCAACACGTCAAAATTTATAAGTATACTTAGTGAATTAACATCAGCTTGATTTGAATGTATGACTCCTTTTTCTAGATTAACATTTTGTAAAATAAATATAAATAAACAAAACTGAGCAAGGACTATTATTTTATCTGGCTCGGGAACTACTTTAAAGGAAATTGGAATATCTAACGCTTTTCGAAGTGTAGGAAATTCAAGGCGTTAACGTCTGGCAAACGAAAAATAAGTCAACCATCATATCAAATTACGCTCTTCAAGAAATTGTAGATCATATTTTACGATCTCGTTAAACTTAAGACACCAGCGAAAATAGACCATTCATAATGTGATGTGCTTTCTTTATTTATTTTCAAAACAATTATTGAAGTTAACTTGAATTTTACAGCGAGAAAAAAGACAAGCGAGAAACTTACACTACATCTTGCTGCATTTTATTATCACCTTGCTGTGAATTCAAATACTTTTTCAAAGCCTCTTGCCCCTGCCGACCCAAAGTGTCCCCTCTTTGTACTATTTTGAGATATCCATAATTGGTAATGGACCCTAAAATTTTTCTAAAGGCGCCTTTGGCGCCCATATATACTTACTTTAAGAGGGGAGCGCGCGCCAAAAAAAACGCATTTTTTTTTCTTCAAAATTTTCTAAAAGGTACCTAAAAACGCCTTTTTTTGGCCTGTTTTTCAAAATTTTGCCTGCGGCGCAGAAAATTTTACCAAAACAGGGTCTTTTTAGTATTTTGGGAGAGCTCGGAAAATCAATTCGGTCGACCTACCTAAAAAAAAAGGTCGACAAAATTTTCGAAAATTTTTGAAAATTCGCCCTTCTCGAGAAAATCCTAGATCCGCCCCTGCGTTTTTCGTTATTCAACTTTCTAATTAGCACAGTTTCTATAAACCTTATTTCTCTCTTCTTCATGATTAGCAATTTTATCCCTGGGCTATGCCAAAAAAAAATTAAGCCAAAGTGACCTCGTAAAAACAGTTGAATGACAACAAACTGAAGGAAACTTAAAAAATTGTCCAATTTGAGAAAACTGCGTCAAATATTCAGCTGGCATACCGAAAAATGAAATACACTTTTTAGACTTGATCATTTTTTCGCACGGATTGCACAATTGTTATTAGAGAGCGCAATTTGCTTCGAATTTAGTGAAGTTAAAAAGAAGTCAAACCGACGGCAAGTAAGATTGAGCCCGAACAACTCTCCTATATCTCTTTTCATATGTCATATCATAACTAGGTTGAACTTTTAACACTTCGAAACACTTGCAATGCAAAACAAAAATCTGAAAAACAAAGTTGAAAAAATTACTAGAAAAAATAACTTGAAAACTTGGATAAGATACAGTAACAAAATTTCATTTTTGTATAAAAAGAAGTTCATAAACAGCCTGAAAAAGAATTGAAAATTAATTACCGAGCAGCAACAAATTTTGGGTCAAAATCTGTTTGAGCCGAAAACAAAAATGTTATTGAAAAAGTATCAAAAAATTTAAAATTTTTAACAAACTATCCAATCTGAAACACATAATTGCATGCTAATTGATTTGCCCTCAAAATTAAGCAATACAAGTTGTATGAGCCGATACAACATAAACTGAAGCTGTTTAAATATTTAAAAAAAAAGAAACAAAAAAACTGAAAAAAAAATTAACGCAAACTCAGACTTGGTAAACCTAAAAAATTACTGAACTTTCAATTAAAGTCGAAACAAAAAAAAAACAGTTTAAATTGGAGCAAAACAAGTGCTCTAGAAAAAAGGCCAAAAAACCTATCAGAAACAAAAAATGTCGTTTTAAAACGGAAAAGGAACCGACAGAAACTAGAGCGAAAACCACGATCACGAAAAAAAAATGAACGAAAATACGAAAAATAATCAACCTGGAACGGGTTTTATCTAATAACAATTCAAATTATAATACTTTTATTTAAACTTTCAAGAAATCCAGCATGTCAGAAGATGAAGGAGTCAAGATATGAAATGATGAGTCCTGTGACTAAAGTTATTTACGAGAAAAAAGTCTAGTACTCGATTGCAATACCCTTGCTTATCTCAAGAGTAAAAAGTGAAAACATTAGGGATGAGCAAGTCAAAAAGGGAATGAAAGTGAAAAAATAAAAAAACAGCCCCAGAAAGTCATGGTTTTCAAAACACTGTTTGAGGAAAAATGTCGAACCACGTACTCACCAGCGTTAGATAAGCATTCAGAAAAACGCATCGAGCGGCAACTTAGACAATTATACTTAACACGCCAGTTGAATCGAACATAAATTTTTAGTTCACAAAAAACAATTGTTACAAAAATTAAGCAACCCTTTAACCCTTCGCCGAATAACTCTTTTAAGCAAAAAAACTTTGTTTCGTTCACAGATTACGGGAATAATGAACATTAATTATATACTATAGAAAAAATTGCTCAAACCAGAAGAAAATTCCGCACTCTTGCAACTAAGCCGACATTTTTTCCAAACGGAAACACTTCCTGGTTGAATGCGAACTCAAGGCCCTAGTCTTCCCTTAGACGTTAAATATATGCCAATTCTCACTAAGAAGACTTGAGATATGAATCCCTTAGACGTTAAATATATGCCAATTCTCACTAAGAAGACTTGAGATACGAATTTATCATAAAGTAAACATTAGAATAATTCAATGATCCGGTTAGACTAATTGTTTACGTGGAAAAGTCTTTGTTTAGATCTGACAACGCTTGCTAACTGCAAGCTTAAAAACGGCCGAAAGGTTTGTCAACCTTTTAAGTCGAACAAATTGATTCGCCGTCAGTTCCGTACTGTGCAAGCAAACAATTTAACCAACCTTGCAATAACAACATCACAATGACATTTCCTGTTTTTTAAGCCAAAACGGTAATGTGAGCACCAAAAAATCCACACCAATACAATTAAATTTATGACCCAAGAGATACAAAGCAAATTATTGGGAGAGAAGCCGCCGAAACTAGGCAACCAAGAAAAACAGCTGTTAAGAATCAAAGCACAGCTAGCCGACGCAGATGCTGGCTGCACAACAGCACACATCAGACGGAAGAACTAAAAGACGCCCAGTCTGTGAAACGGGGTTTTGAGTGGTCGCCACTCTTGACTTTTTACTTCATCGACCTCAATGGAGATGAAGCGCTTGTGACGTTTCTCCTTCAGCCCTAATGTCCCCCGAGGGCCAACAGAACTGGAGAATTGCACACTGTCTACCTAGCAAACACTGGGGCACTTTCAAAACAAGTTTATCCTGCAGATAAGTACTGAGACGAGACGAAATCACGCAATGAAGAACAACAGAAACAAAACCAAGCACGAACAATCATTCTGGACCATTCGTGACTGCCACCAGAGCAGAGCGTGGTTAAAACAACAACAACCAATTTGATTTTGCGAGCTCTTCCAAAACACTTACGTTTTCGACGTTTTTAGACACTTTTCGGAAGTTTTTGGCTCGAAACAAAAAAACTAACCTCCGTAAATGAGTGTGAAATTGTTATCCATGTCCTCGTCAGTTGACCCTCTGTTTCTTGAAGCAGAAGCTGATCTAAACAGTAAAAAATGTTAGGATGTGATGTACCGAGCTTTGTCTTAACCACCCTTCACGAAATCATTTCAGGATTCTAACACAAATTCAAAAAGTTATCTGTGATTTCTGTGAAACAGAAATTTATTGCAGATGAACTGAATCATTTTGCATGAATCCCATGCTGAATTTTACTGACTTCAAACTCGACCGGCGCCAAAATGTGTTGCGAGTGATCATTCTGTTGAATAGTTGTATAGATGTATGTGCCTTTTTAAATGATGCTCAGTTACTGCTTTTACTCACCTGTGATTTCCCTTCCCGTGCTTCTTTCCACCTTTTCCTCCTGGCCCATTGGCTCGCATTCCGATCTCGTACTCGTCACTCATACTAGCCCCGAGCATGTGACTCGCTACCACTCCTCCTGCACTGCTGCTCTGTTCTGTTCTGATCCCACTGTCTCCTCCCGACGACCTGCGATTATAAAAGAATTTGATTTTGTTTTCGTAAACAATTGCATAAAAGGCCCAAAGACCCTGATTACACGCTTGCATTGGCAAGGTCATAGCCAAAATCATATCACAAATGGGCGAAAAATTCTAACTTTGGAGATTCGCTTTTTGTCAACCAATTTCTATTGCACCTGCATGTTCCGGATTTGTAGAACATCGATTCAGCCTCTGCGGTCAAAAATGTTCAAAAAGCAAACCAACATCAGAACTTGAAACGTAGATTATTTTCTCAAAAACCCAACTTCTTGATGTAATACATGAATTGCAATTTTTGCACGAATGCTCTTTTGATAAATACTGTACAAGCAAACTTTCTAGTTAAAAACACACAGTACACAACTACATTGTATACAAATACATGGTTTTTCACTACGACTTTCACGAGAGCAACTACTATTTAGTGACTATATGCATACAAAAATACTCGGGTAAGGAACTCGAAAAAATTCAGCCTGGACACAGAGGCAAAGCGGAGCTTCGCACCACTTGCGATACCACAAACACAGCATTGGAAGCTAGCAGACAGAAAATACAAGTCCAAAACTAATGAAAAAATCAAAGAACTACAACTACAAAAATTTGCCTTGAATATTAACTTTGAAGAGAACACGACCAGGATCACAATCGTCGCCCATTTGTTATCAGAAACAATTATCGAAGGGCAATTAAACAAAAAAAAGAGGGGTGAACTCCATTAGACCCGAAAACAAAATTGTCGGCTAAAATCTTTTGAAAAGTCTGAAAATCTAAGCTTTTACGCTGTGCGTGAAGTGAGTCGATAATAAACTTGAATCGATAATGAGCTAGGCAACCAAATGCTTTATATATTCTGTTAAAAACAGCAAGCGTTAAAAATAGCTGAATTACAAAAAATTGACAAAGAATTGCCAAAATAGCTGAATTACAATTATCGCTAGCCTTAAAAATAGCTTCAATGCACAAAATAAACAAATACATAAATAGCTGAATTACAAAGCATTACCAAAATAGCTGAATTGGAACTTACGACTCAAAGACGCAGCGGAGTTTCGCTTCACTAGTGCTACATCGCAAACATAGCATTGCAAGCTAGCCGACAGAAAAGGTGATAAAGTCAAAAGAGAAGCTGAACACTAGCGGAACACGACAAAAAGCAGCTCTATAAAATGCAAAATGAAAAAGTACAAATACGCCTCGAATTAGTAAAAATTCGGCAACATCTCGAGTTCGATCTGCGACCAAGAGATTTTGAGTCTCACGCACTTAGCACTTACCATCAGCCACAGACAGGCGCGGATATAGGAACTTCTCGAGGAGGGGGAGGGGGTGGTTTGGGTGCGGATTTTCAAAAAAAAAACTCAAGAATTTTGTCGATCTTTTTTTAGCTCTTCCAAATCACTATAAAGACCATAACTTTCCCAAATTTTTCTGCGCCGCAGGCAACTTTTTCGAAAAACGGGCAAAAAAGGCGTTTGTTTTTATGCACTTACAACTTTTTGGAAAATTTCTAAAAAAAAAATTGCGTTCAAAATTAGTATAGATTGGGGCCGAATGCGCCATAAAAAATGTAAGGGTCGGTAAGCAAAAAAATGGATGTCTCAAAATAAAACAGGGGGTCGAATCACTTAGGTGGGGGGGGGGGGGCATACGCCCCCGCCCCCTAAACCCGCTACTGGCCAGACGCTTAACTAATCATTAACACTAGTCACGAATAAAGCAGAGAACAGATGCCATGTAATTTCCAATGCTAGAGATCGTGATTATAGCAAAATTGCTACCAAATAAATGTACACTTTTGATGACCACTTTTATTTGCGAATTAGGTTAGAAAAAAGAAGGTTCAAACTAATACACCACTCTGTTTGTAAGTGTAAACATGTTTAAATCAAAACATATGAAGCGGAAACTAAGCCAAAAATACTAGGGTAGACCAAAGAGAGCCAATAAATCGTTTTCATGAAAATTTTTAGCAATAAAAATTCGAGATTCCAAAGTTAAAAGTACCGATGAGCAAAAAATTGCTTTTTTAAACGACGCATTATGAGGCGACTAAGCGATATAACACAAGTAGAAAACTCATAAAAAAATTGACAGAGTTCACGAACTGATTCATTAACTTATAAATTTTTTCGGAAAAAGCCTGTCCCAATTAGATAACGCGCAATAAATAAAACTTCTAAGTGTTTATCGAAGTGATATGCGTTTATCAATTAGAATACGAATCATTTTATTTATTTCTAGCCTGAGCTCTAAGTTTCAAGTCTTTATTGCAGAAAAAGGGGCGGGTCTTTTTACGTAATTCGCCCAATTTCCGCAGTTTTGCAATTTCTCTACCACGCAAAGAATAAAACACTGATCGGGCTTGATTGGTTAAACTAATGCGTGCCCTTCTTTTAGCCGATTTCCAGCAAGGACACGTTTCAAGCAGCTGTGAAGTTGGTCTTTTTCCCACCTCGAGCTATTTTCTGTTTTTTTTTTGTAGTCCGGACATAACTCCGGGCAGCTTATTTGAAATCTATTTGACTATTTTATAAAAACAATCTATTGCATTGGTAATTTCAGCTAATTTACAAGCTTACTTAAAAGGCTTGACAAAATATTTCAAGCTTGAGCTGGAGTCTGATAAGCTAATTCTAGCCAATCAGATTCAAGCGAAATAGTTTCAATTCAAAATGTGGAAATTTTGATTTTGGGCTCAATAAATAAGATCTTAGGTGGTTTCGTATTATTCCTTTTCGGCTCTTTTACCTTTTCCCACCAAAATTTCAAATTTTATTTTCTTGTTGCTTTACGTAGTATGAAAGATAACCTAGCGTGTAACGCACCTCCAGTGCTTCGAATTTTTTCGACAACTCATGAAAAACCGCATATATTGGAGCCAAGATCTGCAACCTTTTAGTGTACTCTGACTGCACCCAATTACAGGGTTGGCAATTTCCAAATTTATTTACAAAAACTTTATTTCCAATTTTGAAAAACCATAAAAGAGTCACCTCGAAAACTTAATAGGCCTCTGGAAAAAATTAGAGACCAGATTTGCAACTACTGAGAGTCCCTGAGAGCACCCTACTATAGAGTTGGGAATTTAAACTTTTGTGAGTTTTTTAAACCTAAGTTTGCCGAAAAAATGAAAAAATCATAATAAAAGTCACATAATAAAAGGATTTGAGCATTCAGAATTAGAGGCAATATTTGCAACGCCTGGTTGCACGCTGATAATAAGGTTGTCTCTCCATCAAATAGTAGTTTCAAATTTTGTGAAATTTTTTGTAGGGAAGTTCTTTGAGAAATTTTGAAAAAATCAAAAATATGTCTTATCTCGTAAAAATCAAAAATATGTCAAAAACTTAAAGCATTTGAGCAGTTGCATTTTGCAAGATTTGTAACTCCTGAGAGTACCCTGACAGCATCCAACTACAGGGTAAAGAATTTTAAATTTGGAAATGAAATTGATTTAATTTTTTTTGAACAATTACAAAAAACGTAATATATCGAAAATTACAAGAATTTGAGCAGTCATAATTAGAGGCAAGGCTCTCAACTCCTGAGAAGCCCTCAAATACAGAGTTGGGAATTTCAAATTTTGAAGAAAAAAAATTTCGTTTAATTTTTGTTTGAAAAATTTTGAAAAAATCACAAGAAAACGTCATATCTCGAAAACTACAAGGATTTGAGCCGTCACATTTAGAGGCAAGATTTGCAATCCTTGAGAGTACTCTGACAGCACCTAACAACAGGGTTAGGGGAAGTTTGGTAAATTATGTTGGAATTTAACTTTTCTGAAAATTTTTGAAAAAAAATCACGAAAATCGTCGTATCTCTTACACTATAAGGATTTGAGGCCAAATTCGCAACCTTTTGGGGAATCCTGACAGCATCCCACTATTGGGCTGCTAATTTCAAACTCGGTAGAATAACCACTGAATTCAAACTGGAAAATCGAAAAAATCTTAACCATTGCAATATGCGATATAGCTTAAACATGCAAAAAAATTACGTTGAAAAAGCTTAAACGTGGCGAGATAGTGAAGCCCGCATTTAAATATATAATAGGTGCGTTATAACAATCTGAAGAACAAACCCATTCACAAATTTTGGTTTGTTCATCATGCCAAGCTTCATTGCATTCAGAAAGAGCAAATAGTTTTTAAAACTGAATTTCAAATAGTTGGGGTGCGTAGGTGGAAAAGAGCCTGCTACGCTTATGCATAAAACACCAACAGAGACATAAAACAAAAGTTCAAAAAAATTCACAAGCTTTTTCGGCTAAAATGAGTTATTCGAAAGCCGCATTAACTAAGTTAAAAGTGACTGCCCAATCATCAGCTAAAATTGAAGGCTTGCTTAGTTCATCTTGATTTTTCGAATGTGAATTTTGAAGCAGTTATAGAAAAAAAAACATCAATAGTGTATAAATATTTTTCACAGGAAAAAAAAAATTACCGAAATGAGAAGTTTTGCAGCTCACAAGAAAACTGAACAATAGGTCATTTACCCTGAATATGAAGCTTGTTTGTAGTGTTGATTTTGTGGTGTGTTTGACTGCATCTGAAGAGATACCGGATCTCCATTCGCAATATTTCCCCGAGATCCTCCACTAAACTCATTAAATGAAGCTGAAACACAAAAACAGACCATTGTCACTTGCCAGTTGAATTTATGGCAGGACTTTTAAAGCACAAGTAGGACATTTGAAGCACTACAATTCATTATAACCAACATCAATTGAACTAGGGCTCTTTAAAAAGTACCAAGATAAAACTATCTCTGACTTATTTGAAACCATGAAAAATAGTTTTATATTTCGAGCATTACATCCTTCAAACCTTTGTTTTTTTTTCATAAAAAGGTACTTAAGGCATGTCAATTTAAGTTATTGTCTCAGCCATTTTAAGAAGTCTCAGATTGTTGAATGGAAATAGTGCCTAAATATGTATGCTTCAAAAATATAGACTTAATATCCCTTATTTGATAGAAATTACCATGGAACAGTGAAACAAAACTAAAAGCAGCTTAGCGCATTCAAAATCTCTTCGTTTTGTGACAGCTTCATTGTGGTAAATGAAAACATGATTTCCCCAGAAGAAAAAAACCAAAAAATTGAACATAGTAATAATATAACATTTAAATAGGCATCACAGCATCCTGTTTTAAACACTTCAAGGTTTGAACTGCGATTTTGTTTTTTAATTTCAAAATACCTTCCAGCAGTTTAGTAAAGAATTCAACTTCAGGATAGTACATGCGACTGATTGGCTTTAATTAAAGGGCCGGCAAAAGGTTGAAAGAAGGAGGAAAATGAACTCCCTTTCCCTAAATACAATATTTCCCACGAGAAATCAAATAAAACAAAAAAATGAGCAATGGATAACTTTGTGGCATAAATGAGACTGAATCAACAATCTGTGATCAACGTTCACCATCACAGCACATAAATTTTTACTAATTTATTTACAATCTCTCTTTTTCAGCTCCTTTTTGACGTAATTCTTTCTCTTCAAGTACAGCTCCTTTCCCGACATCTGCCCTCTTCCTAATCTCTCCATTTTTCCCACATCACTTCCCGACCTCCCTAATCCCTTAGTCGATCCTCCACTTCTACCATTCAGTGAAGCCACATCTTCATCTTGCATTTCCGATTTCGGCCTCTGAAGACTTGTATACTTCGGTCCAACTGAGCCGTGCATCTGAAATTCTTCGAAAGGTTTCACTTTCAGAGGTCCTCTGACACTTGAAAACATTTGAGGCTGCATTCCGACTTCAGATCCATCGTACATATTACTTTTTGGTTGCTGTCGCGATTTGAAACTGTTCGTCAAAGCACGAAACGGATTGCGTACACTCTGTTTTGAAATTAAGTCTGTTCACTTGTGTCAACCACCAAAAAGACTTTATTTGAGCAAATTGTAATCTTAAGTTCAGATTTAGGGAAGCAGGAAATTTGCTTACAGCGCAGAAAATTTGGTCAAAATTGAGTCTAAATGGTGACATAGGAGAGCTCGAAAATCAAATCCCAACAAAATTTTCAATTCAATTTCAAAAAAATCACACGTTGAAGCGCTTTGAATTTAAAATACTGTTAATAATTGGCATTTCTTTGGTGAAGTTGTCCCATTTAGAGGAAACTAGTTCAATAGGTTAAATTTTTATTCCACTGGTAAATCTAAATTTATAAACCTTTTCTAAATGAAAAGTCATTCACCTTTTTTGCGCACTTTACTCTTGGCGACCCACAGGGAATTTGCTTTCCTTTAAAAATAGCATAAAAGCCACTGATACGAAAAAAAAAATGAAAAAACGGTCGATATTTTTATGTGTCTCAAAGCGATCGACTTTGAGAAAAGATACTGAGAAACACAATATTCATCAAGCGGTATATTCATCAAGATTCAACACTTGGGTAGACAACTAAAGAGCCGAAGAAAAAATTCCTGTAAAAGCTTTTGAGCAATTAAAAGTTTTGAAAAACCTAAGTTTTTCATCCGCCCTACTTCAGCCGTCCAAAAGCCGAATTATCAGGCAGCTAAATCGATATAACATCAACCCAAAGCCGAAGAAAACTTTAAGTGATAATAAAAATCGAGAAATCTGCAAAAAAAAAGAAAATGAGAATTGGTTTAAAAGCAACAAACAAAATTCGAATGAAACGAATATTTAAAATGCAGACACGCTCAAAAATATATGTTGCCGGGCATTCCCACAGAACATACATGCAACAGCACATACAAGCTAATCGCCAGCGAGAAATCAAAAGTCAAGCCGCGAAAAATCGAATTTGAGAGTGAACAAGCTTTAAGACTTTTTCCTGCAAACAAAACACCAAAAAATCATCAGTACTTATAGTGCTGATTTAAATTATCCGGACAAAATGAACAAAACTTGAGTTTTCATACACGTTTTTCTCAAATTGGGTTAAGATTAGACAAAAAAAGAAAGTGAACAAAAGTTGCTTAGAATTTCCACAGAATTAATATGGTGTAATTTTTTCTCCGAAATTCTCAACCAAAATTTTACCCCAAAAATGCGTCACTTTGGTTTTTTTCAAATAATCAAAAATTACGCTGAAACTACTTTGTTAATTGATAAGAAAATTATATCACAAGAAGCCTCTTACACAGCCCAACAAAGTTTAAGAGAGGTTAAATCTCCAAAAGTTTGCGCAAATTGTTTAAAATGTTTTTAAACAAAGGTTCTGGGTTTTATATAGTAAAAATCACATTTATTGACTATCAAGTAAACATTTTTTCTCTTATACTAGTTTTTGGAGATTTAACATTTGTTCGACTGTGTAAGAGGCTTCTTGTGACATAACTTTCTCGTGAATTAATAAAGTAGTTTCAGCGTAATTCTTGATTAATTGAGAAAAACCAAAAAGACCCATTTTTGGCGTAAAATTTTGGATGAGAATTTTGGAGAAAAAATTACACCATATTAATTCTGAGGAAATACTAAGCAACTTTTGTTCTCTTCCCTTTTTGTCTAATCTTAACCCAATTTGAGAAAAAATTTTGTTCGTTTTGTCCGGATAATTTAAATCAGCACTGTATAGAAGAAAATCATTTCATTCTTTCGCACATGAAATGTGTCAATGAGCAAGGAAACGGAAAAAAAGGTATTTGTGAAATTTTTTGACTAAAATTGTGAAGAAAATATCTTTTATGATTGTAACTTTTTTTTACAAAACTTACACAATTTGAGAACACTTGAACTTTTAAAATTCCGCTGGGAAAACTATTAATTAAAACCCACTTTCGAAACTAAGTCATTAACGTTTTTTTTGTGCCATTTCCACTTTTTGGAGAGCCTAAATTACCGCGTTTTAGCGAACAAAAATAGCATGACCTATATAAGTGTCTTAAATGCGTTCATGCACATTTAAGAATGAGCTTTTAAGGCTGTGAACAAAACTGGGAAACTTTCAAGAAGGAATGAAAATCCCAAAAATTCTATTACCTTGATTATTAAACAACTTCTAATTTTCTTGAAAATTACTCTTTAAATAAGAATCTTAATGTAACCTGAACAGACTCGGTTATGATTTGGAACTTCCTCTCGTTTAGACCGAGATCTATTCGGCAAATTAATCGATCCAAACTGCGTAGATTCCGAGTGTATACGGAACATCTTCTCAAACTGCTTTACAGATCCCACACTTCCGTGACCAGCACTTCCTCGAATTTGGGGAACATGCTGACTATTGGCAAAATAATCATCACCAGGACCATAGTTTATCGAGCTCCGGTTTTGACTTTGACCAAGAGAGCTGCTTAAAAACTCATTTTCGTCTTTGGCTGTTCGTAAAAGGACTCTTGGAAGTTTATAATATTGAGCATTATTGAAACTCATGACGAGTTAGAGTTAGCTAACAATTGAATTAAAAAAACCGTAACAAAATCAAGAAGATAATTTAATAATATTTTATGAGTTAGGCGTGGATGAAATCTTGATTAGCTTCAAAGCATACAAAAACATCGCTGTTAGAAAAATTATATCATTAGAAATTTAAACACAATAGCTTTCTGTCTTCTGTAATAGAGAAACAGAATAAAAAGCATTAAGACTTCGCGAAGTTTAACAATTATAACCGACTAAAACTGGCCACATTCGATTTGATTATTCTAGTAGAAACATGCAGTATGAGAAATACAGATTAAAAGCTATTTACCACAGTCACTCAAATAGACTGCTACAGATTATTAGCCTCTAAGTGGACTTCAATCAGTAAAAGACCGGCGTAAATTAAAATTTATTACGAAGCTATGGAAATTCCATCAGTAGCTCTTCTTAAAACTTAAAACTGTTCTAGATGTGTCAAAAAAACTAAATTCACTTTGCAAGACACACTAAAGGACAAAATCAAGCGAAAATTCAGGTTTCTTTTCTCTAAAATGCTTGTTTTCAAGGATGATTTTGGACAATATTCACTAGGAATTTGAACAAAGTTTTTACATCGACGAAGAGCAAATGATCAGAGCTACCCTCTATGAAATTATCAAATTAAAATTTCAAGAATTTACTAATTTTTTCCGGGTCTGAAAATACCAGTTTTCATCACCTGCATTAAGCTCAAATTTAAAACGCGTCAAATTGTAATTAACAGTTAAGTAAAATTGTCACACTGAACAATTCAATTTTATCGCTTAGAATGTTTCACAACACATTAACAACTTTTTTTCGCTTATTCGAAAAAGAAATCACTCTGATGCAAATTTGAGAGTAGATAATTTCATAGAGGGTATCTCTCAGCATTTGCTCTCGCCCTATATAAAAATTTTGATAAATTTCAAGTAAACAAGCGCTTAACGCACCTTCGGTGCTTCGAAATTTTTCGACAACTCATGAAAAACCGCATATATTGGAAACAACATCTGCAAACTTTTAGTGTACTCTGACTGCACCCAACTACAGGGTTGGTAATTTTGAACTTTTAAATTTTTTAAATTCCCATTTTAAAAGCGTCATCTCGAAAACTTAATGGGCCTCGGGAGAAATTTGGAAGCCAGATTTGCAACCACTGAGGCAAGATTTGAGACGCCTGGGTGTACGCTGACAATAAGGTTGTATCTTCATCAAGTTAGTAGTTTAAAATTTTTTGAATTTCTTTGTAGATAAGTTCTTTGAGAAATTTTGAAAAAATCGAAAAACGTCACATCTCAGAAACTTAAAGCATTTGAGCAGTCGCATGTGGAAAGATTTGCAACTCTTTAGAGTACCCTGACAACACCGAACTATAGAGTTGGGAATTTCAAATTTTGAAACATAATTAATTTGCACTTTCTGGATATTTTGAAAAAATCACAAAAAACGTCACATCTCGAAAACTACAAAGAATTGAGCAGTGATATTTAGAGGCAAGATTCGAAATCCTTGAGAGTACTTTGACATGACCTAACTACAGGGTTGGGAATTTCAGTTTTTTAAAGAATAGAAATAATTTAAGTTTTCTGAAAATTTTTGAAAAAAAATCACAAAAAACGTCATATCTCGAAAACTACAAAAAATTGAGCAGTCATATTTGGAGGCAAGATTAGCAATTCTTGAGAGTACTCTGACAGGACCAAACTACAGGGTTGGGAATTTCAGATTTTTAAATAAAAAAAATACTTCAAGTTTTCTGAAAAATTTTGAAAAAATCGCAAAAAACGTCATATCTCGAAAACTACAAAGAATTGAGCAGTCATACTTGGAGGCAAGATTCGCAATCTTTGAGAGTACTCCGACAGGACCTAACTACAGGGTTGGGAATTTCAGATTTTTAAAAACTAATAATATTTTAATTTTTCTGAAATATTTTGAAAAAATCACAAAAAACGTCATATCTCGAAAACTACAAAGAATTGAGCAGTCATATTTGGAGGCAAGATTTGTAACTCCTTAGAGTACTCCGACAGCACCCAACTACAGGGTTGGGAAATTCAAGTTTTGTAAATTATTTTGTTATTTGAAATTTCTGAAAATTTTTGAAAAAATCAAAAAATCGTCTTATCTCGTTAGCGAAAATGATTCGAGCATTCAAAATTGGAGGCCAAATTCGCAACCCCTAATTCGATATTGGGCTGCTTAACTTAAACTCGGTAAAATAACCACTAAAATCAAATTGGAAAATCGAAAAAAAAATTCTTAACCATTGCAATATACGATACAGCTTAAACATGCAAAAATAATACGTTGAAAAAGCTTAAACATGGCGAGATAGTGAAGCCCGCATTTAAATATATAATAGATTTCGTCAAAAAGCGTCCTGTAAAACAGACATTTAAGCGATAAAAACCTGAATTTGCGCTTAAAATTGGCCAAAATTTAACAGTGAGAACTTTAAAATTAAAAACTTCAAACTCTCTAGTCCTGACTTTTATGAAACTTGAAAGAGAATATCATAATTTGGTTTCAAGGACTAATCAGTTTTTCAAGGTCTGAAAACGCATGTTTTCACTATCTGCTCAAATTTCCATCTAACAGAACGCTTTCTGAATTAAGCCGAATAGAAAGCTTTGATCATGCGATGGGAAAAATTTTCAACGAGAAAATTTAATGGTTCCGGGTGAAAATCGAACCACCCTCGACTGCTACTTACATTTTCATGCGGTTTTGAAAAAATTAGTGCAAATAAGGAAAACTGGCAAATTCAGAGCCAGATTAAACTGTGAAGTCTTGAAACCTAAATCGGATCAATTCATAGAGGGTGGCTATGATGATTTGCTTTAGGTATATGTTAAAATTTCGTAATATGTCGAAGTAAAATGAAGTAAATGCTGCCCATAATTATCGGTGAAAGGTGCCTCTTAGAAAAAAAAACTCACGCTCAACTTTAGCCACTGGTGTAAAATAACAGCAAGAAAGCAAATTGACTCAAGTAGCAGATAGCAACAATCATATATTGAATCGAGAAATTGAAGAAATCGGTATGAAACACACAATTGAAAAAAATTTACGCTAACACAAGATTTTTACTTTCTGATTTTTTTGTTGTTCTACAATAGATAGGATCTACTTAACAATCCCCCGTTGTATCTACTCAAGTGAAATAGCACTAGAGTTTTCTTTTGTGCGTTCTAATTTTGCTGCATTCTAAATGGTTGAAATATCGTTTGAAATAATGTACTTAACAATACCCCCCTTTCTTGAACAAGGGAGATCGTTAGATAGATACTGATGACATTGCACTAGTGTTTCAAATACTGCACTAGTTTTTCAACTATGGCACGAAACACAAACTGCACACCTACGTTTCATCAAACCAGAAGGCTACTTAAAAAGTGTATGCAGCAACATTTCTGGAGCAATTTGCACTCGTCCTGACTTTCAGAAACTTTGATAATTCAAGACAATTTTGAGGACTTGAATTATTGAAGTCCTGCATTATTTTGAATCGTTTTGAGGACAATACAAAAAACTAATATCAACTATCCAAGCTTTCTTTGGTGTACCTCTTTCAATACTAATATAAATTACAATGGGCTAAAAGCAAATCCTTGATTTACGCCTAATTTTTGCAGGCTTTTTCGAGATCAACTACGCCTCACGGTTGCAGGCTTTTTCGAGATGAACAAATATGTGATACAGGGACCACCCTTAAAGCCAAATTGTATGACATGGATAAATTGTCGCCACGTTTTTCTAGATTTTTTCATGTGTGTTCCAGTAATCGGATGCCTCCTTAGAATAGAATTTTAACGGATCGCCTTTTCCTTTAAAATCCCAGACTTCCTTAAGTCCAGCAAGTCTATATTCCCCGGAAAATTTCATCATATCCGAAGTTAGTCCTGGGCTTTTCTCATTTTTATTAGTGCCAGTGCCACTTCCTGTATAGTAAATTTCTCCAATGGTCTTGCCACTTGGTGGATGTCTTCCGTTTCAAACAGATCTGTCAATTAACTTATAGAAGTCCAGAATCGAACAAGTAAGAACAAAATCACAAGTTGCCCAAAAAAATACTGCAAGATATCAAAGAAAAAAGCTTTCAAAAAAATCAACCTATTCGATAGTTAATCGACTTTTTAACGTCAATATATCGGCTAAACAGCAACCGAAGGAGGCATTGCAAAAGGGAAATTGCCAACCGAAGTCATAGACCCCCGTTAAGAAAACGATGCCACGTGAAACATCAGCAGAAATAACAAATTAGATGGAACCAAACAGAAACATTTATTGAATTTAAAATTCTCGGAAAACAAAACAATTCAATGAATAACCAAGTAAAAATAAACTCTGAAGGTCAGATGCGTTTTCATTGTAATTGCATTCAATTTGCATGTTGCAACCAGAAACAAAGCCTGATGAGAAATCAAACATTTTCACTCCCTCACTGTGGTTAAGCGTAATTTGCATACACCGAAGCTGCCTTTTAAAAACACAGGCGAAATTGGCCACAAGGAGCTTCGAAACTGTAAGAAAATACAAACTGAAAAAGACGCTTTGAAAATGACTTTCTAACAGCGGGATTCGAACAGCCGGCCTCTAGAGTCAATTATGTTCCCAACTGTGCTTCATCTCCTATCTGTCTTCCAGAAACCACAGGTATGAAAAACGGGTAAAACATATGCTATTAAATTGTTAAATAGATAAACGAAGAGTACACAAAACTTACCAAAAGTTTGTGCGCTCATATGTGAAAAAGTGAGATCGTATTATTAAATAGTTTCAGGTTAAATGATTTGCGGGGTAGCCGTGGTGACCCCTTTTTCATGGTTGTGATTATTGGAGCGAGCTCATTACATCTGGCACTTGAAGATTGGGCATCAGTAGGAGGAAACGAGGAACTGCAAGAAGACGTCATCCATTACAAGGGAGTAACGTTTCATCCCAAATCGAAATCGAATAAAATCGTACGAAACATCTTGAGAGACGAAATTAACAGAAACGAGTCTGTAATTATCTGGCACGACGTAATAAACAATTCGATTTCAAAACATCCATTCAATCCAAGGACTCCCCTTACTGCCAATCAACTAGTTTCAGAAATCAAACCCCTAATCAATTCGCATCCTCGAATTGAAGGCCTTGTCTATTGTCAGAGAGACGGTGCACCCTATATTCTTGAAGATCTAAAGAAACTTCCGATACCAG